GTTAGGAGGCCCCCACCCCCGCTGCATGACTCCCCGAGGGCAGATAAGAGCAAGCACTGTGACTACCACCGTGTATATGGTCACAATACAGAAGACTGCCAACATTTGAAGGATGAGTTAGAGTTTTTGGCTCGTAACGGGAAGCTAGAAGGATATGTTCAGAAGTCTCATACCCAGCAACCCATTCAAACCCATTTCGTGCAGGCGTACGACCGACCTCAAGGACAGAGGTACCAGCATGGTGGGACACAGGATGCATATCAAGATAACCAATATCCTACGGAACAGAACAGAGTGTACCGAGGACGTCCTTTCAACAGGAGAGGGCAGGGACCGAGAACCACCGCCCCGAATCAAAAAGACAGGAAAGGGGTAGGTTATGCTGGGATACCCCCACCTTCCGGTACAATAAACATGATATCGGGTGGTGTTCACTCAGGGGGCCAAAGCGCCCGAGCTCGCAAGGCATATGCTCGACAGGTGATGACGGTCAACAAAAATAGACCATTGAAACGGCCGTTTGAGGAAGCAGAATGGGTGAATACGCCCATTACATTCAGCCCGTCAGATTACAAGCGAGCAGAAGGAGAGCCCGACATTATGATGCCCCATGCAGATCCCTTTGTGGCAACAGTTCATATAGGCAATCATAATGTCAATAAGGTGTTTATTGACACAGGCAGTTCGCCAGATATCCTGTATTGGGGTTGCTTCCAGAAGATGCAACTAAATCCGAGCTCGTTGCAGAAGCACGAAGGACCAATATACGGTTTTGATAACCAGCCCGTCCCTGTCGAGGGAGTCATTACTCTTCCTATATACGTGGGCTCAGAACCGCGCTTCAGGATGGCTTCGGTCACCTTCATGGTTGTTAAGATGGAATCAGCTTTCAATGCTATACTAGGAAGAGCCACTTTGTGCGAGCTGAAGGCTGTTATCTCACAGCCCCACCTCTGTATGAAGTTCCCAACTCCGCAGGGGGTGGGAGTGCTGAGGGGGAACTAGAGGATGGCCAGGGCATGTTATCAGGATACGTTTAAAAAGGTTGAGCTCGCTGTAGCCCCTGGAGGATCTGAAAGTAGTAGACCGACTCAGCCCGGACAGCAGACCATGAGTATATCGGATATTGAGCATAGACCTGAGGGTGTCGAGCAGAAAGCAGAGCCGGTAGAGCCAGTGGAAACCGTTCCTTTAAACCCTGAGGTGCCGGAAAGAACAGTGAAGATAGGCACTAAGCTCACAGAAGAAGAACGAACAGAGCTTCTGGAGTTCTTGAGGGTCAATCAAGATGTGTTCGCGTGGACTACTGATGAAATGCCTGGCATTCCGGCAGAGTTAACAGTCCACAAACTCAGCACAGATCCTACCAGAAGGCCGGTGGTGCAGAAACGTCGCCTTTTTGGCCCAGAGAAACAAGCCGCCATAGACGAGGAGATACAAAAGCTGTTACAGGCAGGTTTCATTCGAAGAGTGGAGTACTCCGAGTGGGTGTCCAACCCTGTGCTCGTCAAAAAGCCAAATGGCAAGTGGAGGATGTGCATTGACTTCACCAACCTCAATGATGCGTGTCCAAAGGACCCTCACCCCTTGCCAAACGTTGAGAAGTTGGTGGAGCGGGCAGCTGGGCACGAACGGATGAGTTTTCTTGACGCCAGCTCGGGCTATCACCAGGTTCAGCTGCTGCTGGACGACCAGGAGAAAACAGCTTTCTACGCAGGGGACGCTATCTACTGTTATGTCATGATGCCATTTGGCCTCAAAAATGCTGGAGCAACATACCAGAAGCTGGTGCAAATCATCTTTAAGCTCCAGATCGGCAAGAACATAGAAGTATATGTAGATGACATGATAGTCACCAGCGTGCGAGCTGAGAATCACATTAGCGACCTGGATGAAACTTTTCAAAATTTGCGTCGAGCTCAAATGAAACTGAATCCCTTGAAATGCACGTTTGCTGTGGAATCAGGGAAGTTCCTAGGGTACGTGGTATCCAAGAAAGGAATTGAAGTAAATCCAGAGAAGGTTGAGGCCGTTCAGCAGATGGAACCGCCAAGGACTGTCAAAGACGTGCAGCGTTTGACAGGCCGTGTTGCTGCGCTGCACAGGTTTATAGCCAGGTCGGCAGAAAGATGCCTCCCGTTCTTCAAGGCCCTGCGAGAGCCCAAGAACTTTCAATGGACCGACACATGTCAGCAGGCCTTTGACGAGCTCAAACAATACTTGGCGTCAGCGCCCTTACTATCCAAGCCTGTGGAAGGGGACAGCTTGTATCTGTATTTAGGGGTCACAGCAGAGGCGATTAGCTCGGTTTTACTCAGGGAAGAGAATAAGAATCAGAAACCTATCTGCTATGTAAGCAAAGTCTTACAAGGCGCCGAGCAGAATTACCCAGTAGCAGAGA